GCAGGCAAAAACATATGAACCGTCCTGCTTATAAAATAATTAGTGACGGAATTTGCCAAATAGTAGAGTGTCAACAATGTCAACAACGTTGAAACGTTGACGTCCTGCTTATAAAATAATTAGTGACGGAATTTGCCAAATAGTAGAGTGTCAACAACGTTGAAACGTTGATGATAGTAGAGTGTCAACAACGTTGAAACGTTGATGACTTCACCGAGTGCCATATACCCACTTATCCATGCTTTGATGACATTAAGAACGGTTGTCACATGCACAATTTATAAAATATTACATAATTCTGATTCTGGAGATAGTGAATATAGTTCTGGCGAAATGACAGTAACAGCTAAAAATCTATTAATAAAGCGAGTGAAACTTTAAAAAATTCTTAGTATCATATTCTAGTCATTTGTGAAATAATTTATTTTAGACAAAATTATGAATTAATTTGCATACTTTTTTCCTTGCGTGATCGAAAAATTTCTTGGCGTTTTACACTTGTTGGATTAAACAAATATGAGTAATATTATATAATTATAATATGTCAGTGTGAAACTCGCGCCAAATTCTAGTAAAAACCGCTTTGATCATAGGGTATTCACGTTAGCATAGTGTTTCTTATATGTTAACATGGATTTCACCCTCACCCTGTCATATTATAATTATTTAAAGTTCTTTTATTCACCAGCTAAAACAGCACGAATATATACGAGGCAGAGTGTGAGATATTCGCTAATTTAAATAGCTCGATTAAAATCTTTATATTCAACCAAATTAAAACAAATAAAACAAAATTAGTACTGTATAGTGTTCTGATTCTCAACCTAAAATTGATTCTGAGAATTGACTAGTCGTTCCTTACAAAAAAAAAAACATCTAAATACATTCTGGTTTGAATCACTATTTTTATTTCACAAATTTCTGACCAAATGTTCGCGTCTTTTAAGTTCGTTGATAATCTTCCGATATTGTGTAAATGCTTTAGTCTTTAATTTACCGGTTCATATGAAGACATGATGAGAACTCATATTACTAATCATTTTACATCACCTTTATTTATATCTTCAAAATGTTCTGGGAAATAACAAATAAAAAAAACTAGGGATTTTTATACTGTACTTACGGCTAAATTAACACGAATAAATGAGAAGCAGATTGTAATGATAAGCATTTACGAACTCGAATAGCTTATTTTAAACACGTCGTTTAAAAAGAATTAATCGAAATTATATGAACAGTACTATATAATATGTATAAGTATTGATTAATAATCTATTTACATTCACCAACCAAATTAAAGCGAATAAACATGAGACACGAGTAATTATACACAATTTAAAGTGATATAACTAAATAATATGTTTGGTTCAAATTTATCTGTTATTATATTTATTTTTTAAACGAATTGGTTTAATTTTAAAAATATGATACTCTTTATTTTATGAATTCGATATAGCAAACATTCTTGAAATTAAAACGAAAGTCAAGACAAAGTCATAGAAGCCCCAATGTAATTACTATTAAGCATGATAACTTTACCGGCAATCGCCATTTTTTCCGGGCAAACGCTACATTATGTAAGTTTTAGGCTTGTATATCACGTGCTTGTTATTCATCAATGAAGAAATTATAAAGTTGATATATGGGTGTTTTGTCTTGAAAATAACCTTACGGGGCATAGAGTTACTATATCCTATAAGGTCATTTTCAAGGTAAAGATCCCATCATATGCGAGAGAATTTTATGTATAGAAATTAACAAGAGGTTGATATTAATGAGGTTGATAACGGAGTCGGTTGTGTAAAAAATCAATTTTTACCGTATTATTCAAAATAACGCCCGGGCATTATTTTGGATAATACGGGTATGCTAAGAAATTATTGAATGAATTTTTAACTATATAATTAAAATAATTAATTTTGTAATTTGTGCCGTTGTGACCGAAATATTATATCGATAATGAGATCGAATACCGCATATTCATTAAAAAAAAATTTGTATGCGAATATGGTCATTCAATTGAAATAATCATTCAAATATCCATAGTTAGTTTAACAAAAAGACTGAAATCTAAGTCTTTTTTTAATTTAAGAAATAAACCCTTCCACATATATTAAATAAATAATTTAATTAAAAATCGGTCTAGTTGATTTAAAGTAATCTATTTAAATGTTTATTATATTTTAAATTTAAACAATGGTATGTCAAAAAATAATTAATTCTATTTTCCTAACTGATAATAATAAATTTAAAATTTTCTGCTTATTGATTTAATGACTTTAACGTTGCATTTTTTCATATCCTCAATCAAATCCTGTTCTTTTCCACTCCATTCCATCCAACAAATAGGAGTGCAAATAAACGCTAAAGTCCTCAAGCACCTTTTTTTTCTAGCAAAAAGCAAAATATCTTGGAAGCATCCATCTATTAGCTCTTTAGAAAATCTAATAATCATAGTTATTATATTAGCTTCACAAACGGTTAAAAAATATTTAAAAGATCTAGAAGAGTATGTAGCATAATCAAAGTTCAAATAAGTTACGGTAGGTGGAATGTATTCACCCAGTAACCTAATTCCATCACTAGCGTCATCTTCATGAGAAAAGAAATCCAAATGTTCCAATTTTAAATTTTTAATCCAAGGAAAAAAATAAACGTAATCCTCATTTCTTATTTTTACACATAAATGAGTAATATTTGGGCAAGAATTAATTGCAATTTCAATCATTTCCTTTGTTATCATATCAGTTTTTAAATCTCTTAAAAATTTTCCAGCTTTAGCAATTAAAGTAGCAGTAATATCTGGAGACGAAGGATTATCCCAGATACTAAGACTAGTAAGATGAAAAGAAGCATTAGATAAAGCACAACAATGGTCAATTGATATACCTTCACACCATTGAATATCTAAAGAAACCAATTTTTCTAATGAAATTAAACCATCAAAAGAGATTCCATCCAAAACGAGCATCCAAAGTTTAAGAGTTGTTAAAGAATTGGCATGATATTTTAGAGCAGATATAACATTTTGAGTAAAAGTTCCAATTCCAGCAAATTTAAATTCTTTAAGATTTTTTTGAGCTTTAACAATACTTGAAATTAAATCATTTGGAGTAATTCTATCTTCGTAAACAGAAACCCACATTTTTGAAAGATTTGAAGAATGTATAGGCCAATTTCTTAATAAATTCATAGTATTTTGATAATTTGAAATTTCATCACTTTTATGACCAATACAACAATCTAAACTTTGTAATTTTGAAAGACCAGGACGAGCATTTAAGAATACATCAAGTTCAGGAAGATCAGAAGTTCCATAACCTGTATTAATACTAATTGAAGCAAGATTTCTACATTTATTAAGAAACATAAGCCAAAAAGCATTCATGATCGGCCTTATTCTATCATCATCAGATCTAATCCTTGTTTCAGCATTTATTCTTAACCAAGTAATTATACCATTTTCCATATCAGAAATTGAAAAAGATTCTAAATACCTTTCATAAGAGAATAAAGGTTTATAAGTTTTAGGAATATAAATGTTGAATGGGATTAAAGTTGAAAGAGCAGAATTATCAAGACAATAAATATAAGTTCTAACAATTAAAGCCCAACATCTAAAACTTGAAAAAGGTTGACACCATAATAATGGAATTACACAACTACACCAAAAATGATTAACGAAAAGACAATTATATAAAGTAGAACGATCACCACGAAGATGTTGTAATATATCATATATACAATCATCTGGTAAAGAAGGCCTAATTAATTTTGAAAATGTGATCATTTTTTACTTTTCTAGTAACTTTTTTTAAAAAGAAAGTTATGAAGCGATATAATTTTTTTTTTTTTTTTTTTGTGTAGACCATAAATAACAAATCTGTAGCCTAAAAAACTGTTGTATCACATTAAATATAATGTAATTAAACAAATGTGGAATTTCTTGATTTTTACAATAGATAATTGGTTCCATGTTTACTGTGTTGGTACTAGATTCGATCAATCATTGGTCATCGATCATCAGTTATTTAAGTATTTGTTCATGGCTAGGTCATGATGGCACCGATTAATTACTGGTCAATAACCGGACAATTAATCGGTTAAAAACAGCCTAGAAAAGCTTTAATATCGATATTGTTATTGTTATTGTTATCGTTATGTATAACATAACAGATAAAGAATAATTGAGATTCACGGAGAAAAGATCACAGACATTAGAACATCAAGTAACACCAATATTCGGCAATGATGGAAGATCAGTGTCTGTCTATCTTTTAAATACTGTATATGGAATTTCAAGTAATATAAACTATGAATATTGAAATATTTATTTCTTACCTAAATTCGTTTAGTCGATTTTTATAGGAATCACCTGAATTACTTCATAATCATAATCTTAAAGTTTTTATTACATTATTTAATATAACAATGTTACGTTATTCAAACGTCAAATACTATCAACTTTGATTTATACATAATGTAAGACAAAAAATCTATACTTTTTCATACTCATTTGGTTTCACAGCATCATTATGTTTCCATATTGTGGCTTTTAGCTGTCAATGTTTTTCATGCACGGTAAGGTGCCTGCTTTTTCCTTATTTGTGCTTACCTTTGTTTTTGCGTTCCAATCAGGTATAGCACTTCTGCAATAGGAACGTACGTATACGTATCACCTGTACATATCTGATATAGATGTTACAAAAGCACGAGTCTCGCTTAGGCCCATGTTGTGTAATTTTACACAAAATAAAGCCATATCGATATATGATTCAATAACACAGTAATAGTGTAACCATTAATGACGGATATTTTTATAATTTTTGCCAGAGTTAGAATAATCATGATTAGAGTTTAAAAATTTTAATATATCGATATTATTATATACTAGTTTATAGTTGCATATCATTAAAAAAAGCATAATTATAAAAAATATAATGAGAATTATTTTTTTTTTATGGTAGAAAAATGGTACGAATTAATCAATTGCTGATATCGAATTTTTACATTTCTATTATTTATGCTATACGTATAAAAGTACTGAAGTGACTAAATGTTCAAAAATAGAAATTTCTTTTTTAAGTTAATTATTTCCAGTTTGATATAATTTTATAATCTTTCGTTTCAAAATCAGTTGTTTCATAAAAAAAAAAAAAAAAAAAATCCCGTCATCGGACTAACATCTACTTTAATTCATTGCTTACTTTTTAGAATTTTCTATACCGTTCTAATTTACATATATTGAGCCCTAAATTACGTACAATGCCCATTATCTTCAACTAAAAAATATATTTGTTATACTTTAATTCTAATCGTCGGGCATCCTCTACTGTAGTTTGAACTTTCATTGGTAATAATGTGATACAAATTTTTATTGGTTAGCAATCTTTATATATTAGTTTTGGCTAATGACCTTGGTTATATAGTCATGTGACTTTGGTCATATTAAATGCTATTAAAATTTTACTATGATTCTTACTAAAGGTTATAAAGTCATATCAACCTACATTAAGACAAAATGATTTATGGCAGATCATAAAGGTCATATAGAGAATTTAAGGTCATCAGCCAACACTGTCCTATATAGCTAGTAATACGATTTAAAATTGTCATATATTTTATTTAACTTGCTGGTTTAAGGTAACCCACACCGTAATTTAGAATTTTGATATCGAATTTTCTTTTAAAAACTGCTCGATTTGATTTAAATTTGCAGTTAAAATTCATTTACAAAATTAAATAACAAAATAAGACCATACAAAGTCAATTTCTTGATTCTCAACGTAGAATTTTAAAAATGACCGGCAACCCGGCTTTTAAAAATTTACAATAAAATTTTTTTTATAAATATGAGAACTAATTTATTAAGTTTGTATGGCCTAAAATGATTTATTCACAAAAAATCTTCATATATTCCCTTTCTATAATATAACCAAAAAAACATTTAGAGTTTTTTTTAAAAAAATATAATATTTATTACAGCATTCTTTAAATGGATTTTCGGGTAAATTTGCTTTTATTTTTTCAATAAAACTTACATAAATCATGTTGGTGATTGTTGTTGAAATGAAATTGACGTATAATTGATATTAGAACTGTTAACTTATTTCGGTTTGTCATAATAAAAATATGTCGACATACTGTATGTGAATCATGATCAGTTTCATTTAAATACGACGACCCTACCAAAGGTTATACAAATACAGTATTGTGACTAGAAAAATTTAACATTATACATACTACATACATAGTTAGAAACTGTTGTTGAAATATGATCACATTGTAAACTTCGCATTTGATAGTTTGAGCGTACGGTATATCCGCCTCTCTTTTAAACACTACTATATTTTCTCTATCTTTGGTAACAAATTTAGTTAATTAAATCTAGGAATGATTTACAATCTTGATGTCTTTAGATTACAAAGTGGATATAATACTAGATTAGCTGCATCCTTTTATCTCCACCACTATAAAGTTTGGTGGCTAAAGTTATAAAAAGTTTTTTTTTACTTGATTGTGAATTATTTTTTCAAAATTAAAATATGTATATCATTGTGATTATTAGATTTTTTTGCAGGGATTTTTGTTTGAACTTGTCGATTATGAATATTCTGAATTTGATGTTTTTCCAATTTCTTTCCTAATTGATTGGTTTCAGATTGTTGGATTTGAATCTTATACATTCTTTTTCACCTAATCTTTGCTTTAAATCATTCATGGCTCGCTCAATCTGCTTGTAAGAAAATGAATTTTCTGTTCTTGTCCTGCTTCTAAATAAACCTCAAACCATTCCTTTTCTGCATCGCCAACTAGCTTGTTCTTGACCTGTTTTACTACCTTTTTTTACAATTCGGCTTTTTTTCCTGGTAATTACCCCTGTACGTAATTAGATTTAAGCTTTATTGCTTCTGCTAAAACAATAGGAGGTTTCAAAGTTAAAACTCGGAAATCTAATTTTAAGTGAAATTGATGTATTATTTTGAAATAAGGGATCCGGCAATCTGATCTTATCTTCAATTTGAACGAAAATTTTACTTTTATTTATTTTTTTACAAAGTATTATAAAAATTTTCCGATTTCATGATATGGGATCTCTAAAACACTCCCATTTCATTTTCCGATTTTAAAATCTTGAAAAACAATTAAGATTTTTTAAACTCTCATTTAAATTCATTTTTCTTCTATGGCCTATTGAGATTTGGACAAGTTTAAAATTTGGAACGAGCTTGGGAATTAAATTATCCCAAATTGGATTTGGGTCAAAATTTCAGATATATCCAGCTAATTGTAATAGCTAATATATAGTATATAATAAATATTTGGACAGCAACTATAGGTAACATCTCTAGTAACCTATAACCAATTATATATAAATTGAACTAGAATATAATGAACAGATGAAAATCAAATTGTTATTTATTTTTATTTAAATAGATTATCTGCTGTAATCTTTAGGCATAGCACGTGCAATAACCTCAAGAGTGTATTATAAAATATGTAAATCTTTATACTATCTCTATTTAATAACCCAAACCAGACTTCAGGCTTTAAATTTATGATTTACCAGACTCAATCCTTGAAAAGTCTGAATAATTGGTTCCGGTAAATTGTAAATTTAAAGGTTGAAGTTTTGTTTTCGCTCATATTGTTAATTTGTTAAGTTGTTTTTTTGTGAAACGATGCCATACTTTTGGAAGTTTCGTATTGGAGAAAATCAAAAAACTTATAGAATTATATAATCAATGATCTCATCCCGAGAGAAAGTAATTCCTATAGTAATACTTTATGATATCATAACTTACGACTTTTGACCAGATTATTTACATTGACAGAATATTATTTAACAAATTGCTGAAAATGTTGATTAAATATTACTTCGGGTAGTAGCTTCATCTAACTTGGTGCAAGGTAAGAATAAAACTCTTTATACTGAGCTTACCGTTCTATTAAAAAAATAGATTCAAAAATTCACTTTAGAAAATTTTACAATATACATGTATATTATAGTGCATAATCTAATTTTTTATGAATCCATTTAATGCCTGTAACAATTTTTTTACAAAAGGTTGATTTAATTCTCATGTGACACCCGATTACATTGAATGTCTTGAAAACTTGACTTTGCAATATTCCATAGCTGCAGAAATAACATGAACATTATTAAATAAATCATTCTATTATACTGTTAACTTTTTTTAATAATTCTTTTTATCTTTACTTTTATTGAGTTTTCTTTTATATTATCCAACCTCTTTATTATTTCTTCATCCATGAAGCAGTATAATTCTCACAAAAATCTATTAGGATCTCTAATCTCTGTTAATATTCTCTGCAGTTTATTTATTTTCTTTGCTTAATATTGTATTTTAAAAAAAGGTTAACTATTTATAGATCGCCTTAATACTACTGTAATTAATTACTACGAAAAAAAATAGTAAAATTTTCTTTAAAACTAAAAAATTATAAATTTATGTTATAGTTTTAGCTTTAAGATAATTGTAATACAATTTTAAATTTTTTTCTAAAAAGTATTTTTAATTATATTGTAAAATGATATTACAACCAGATTACACCAGTGGCTACAATAGCCAAATAACTAAATTATTTAATAAAGATTTATATAAATATATATTAATATAACAATATAAAAATTCTTCATAATGTCATTCTTTTATAACTTTATGGCAGGGAGCATAAGGTAATAGTTTTATTCCTTTAATGGATCTCTTCTGAGGGACGGGTAGTGTTCCAAGTAATCCGGATCCGACAGATTGGTCCGGTTTAAGCTTGATTTTAAAGTTAGGGGTTCAATTTTTTTCTTTCATGATACATTAACGTTAATATCGATATATAACGATAAATCCTAATTTATAATGTTAAAATAATTAGCGTTAGATCTAAAAGCTTCGGATTTAACCCACCTAGTTCGGTTTATGTTCAATCTCGGATCAAACCGGGTTCTCAATCCGAATCGGAATGCTAAGGACGGACTTTTTTTTTAATTTACATCACTGATTATTACAATCTTTCTTTTTACACTACCACACATACTTTTCATTGCAAACATTTTAGCTTCGCATTTGCATTACAGCCACTAGAATGTTCCATCCAAGTCCTATATGTCATCGAAGATTCGATAGTGCTGGTCATTTCAAAATAGCCGATTTTTGGATTCATTTTTTAACCCATATATAGTTGCCAAATAAAGCATTCATGGTTGAAATGACTTTTTAGTTCTATTTAATGGAGAAAATTTTCTATAACATATGAAAATTCTTAGAAAGAAATAAAATATGTTATTCTTGATCATTACGTCCACTGAAATTATATAATTGTATTTACCAAATATTCAGAATAATTTCTTTAAAGCACCTAATATTTATTGAAAATATTTTATCAATTATAATGGATAATAATAACCATAAGGTATCCGTTCATTTTCAAAAATCTATCAATGTCTCTTATTGCTCAAATTATTTTTGAAACAGATGATTCTAATGGAGTATCAAAATGAAATTGGAGTTGAAAAGGATGAAAATAAAGTATTCATTTATTATCAAAAATCAGTAGAAATGGGAAACGTTGATGGAACATATAATGTTGGATATTATTATAATGGAATTGGAGTTGAAAAAGATAAACATAAAGCATTAATTTATTATAAAAAAAATCTACAGAGATAGGCCAATGGATCATAATGTTGCGCAATGTTACAGAAACGGAATTGGA